TCACTCCTCATTACCCCTCTCCTACCCCTTGATATCCACTAATCTGCTTTCAGTCTCGACAGGTTTGCCTTTTCTGGACATTTCACAAAAGTGGAATCACACAATATGTGGCCTTTTGTGATGAGCTTCTTTCACTTAGCATGTTTTCAAGGTCATCCATGTTGGAGCATATATCAGCCCTTCATTCCTTTTTATGACTGAATAATATTTCATGTATGGAATATGCCCTATTTTATTTGTCCATTCATCAGTTGATGGACATTTGGGTTGTTTCCACCTTTTGGTTATTGTAATTATATGAATATCTGTGTACAAGTATTTGTTTAAGTCCCTGCTTTCAATCCTTTTGGGATATATTCCTAGGAGTGGAATTGCTGGATCATATGGTAATTCTATGTTCAGCTTTGTGAGGAGCTCCAAACTGTTTTCTATAGCGGCTGAGCCATTTTACATTCCCACCAGTAATGTGTGAGAGTTTTAGTTTCTCCACATCCTCGCACTTGTTATTTTCTGTTGGTTGGTTTGTTTTATTTTGTTTTTGTGGCCATCCTAGTGGTTGTGAGGTGGCACCTCATTGTGGATTTGATTTGTATTTCCCTAATAACTAATGACACTGAGCATCTTTTCATGTGCTCATTGGCCATTTGTATATCTTCTTTGGAGAAATGTCTATCAAATTGTTTGCCCATTTTTTAATTGCATTGTTTGTCTTTTCATTGTTGAGCTGTTAGGGGTTCTTTATGTATTCTGAATACGAGACCCTTATCATATCTACGATTTGCAAATATTCTCTCGCATCATGTGGACTGTCTTTTCACTTTTTTGATGATGTTCTTTGATGCGCAAAAGTTTTTAATTTGATGAAGTCCAATTGGTCAGCCTACTTTTAAAGACACATTTTTAAAAACCTTTTTATTATGGAAATTTCCAAACCTACAAAAACGTAAAGCATAGTATAATGAACTCCCCTGAATTTGTCATGAAGCTTCAACTACCAACATTTGTCGATGTTGTTTCACCTATGCTCCTGCTTTTTTGTTGTTTTGTTTTGGCTGGAATATTTTGAACTAAACAGCACACATCATGTTGTTGCACCTGGAAATATTTCAGGATGCATCTCTAAGTGATAAGGACTTTTTGGTTTACATAAACATCATGCTTCATCCCACCTAACAAAATAAACAATTCATTAGATATCACCTAATAATCCATATTCAGATTTCCCAGTTGTCTCAAATATGTCTTTTTTTACAGTTAATAAACTAACTGTTGATTCAGGATCCCAACAAAAGGCACATATTGCATTTAACTGCTATGTCTTTCAAGTCTCTTTTATTTTATGTCTCCTTCTCTCCATGTTTTTCGTGCCATTGATTTGTTAGAGAAACCACATTATTTGCCTCGTAGAATATCTCATATTCTGGATCTGACTGAGGTCACTTGTTAAAAAACACCATTTACATACAAACAACTGAGCAGCCAAAGTTGGAGTCTCAGAACCAGAGCAGATCTTAATAATAATGGCTAATTGCTATATGGCACAAACTCTGCTGGGCATTATACAGACATGAACTCACTGAATCCCCACAATAACCCTAGGAGGTAGGTAGTACTCTCATCCACATTTTATAGGTGAGAACGCTAGACCCAGAGAGGTTAACCTGCCCAAAGTCACAGGGCTAGAAAGGGGTGGAGCCAGGAGTCTGGCCCCAGCATCCATGCTCTTCACCACTGCCAGATTTGCATCTGGTCATGGAAGCCCTTTGTGACAGAGAGGGTGCCTTTCAAGGCCAAGATTGAAAGGAAACCCCAAGTCTTGTTAAGCGGCAAGGGACTTGAAGTGTCATTCCCCTCCTTTAGTTATGCAAATGAGAGTGTCTAGGCAGCTTCTAGGACTAGAGTGTAACAGGGCCCTTTGAGACAGATATTATTATCCTCACTTTAGAGATGAGGAAACTGAGGTCCAAAGAGGTGACATCCTTCACCCAAAGTCCCCGTGCTTCCTAAGGAACGTCTCTTTCCCGGGGCTGCAGCCTCCCTAAACACTGATTCTGGGCTGAGGAACTGGCCCAGGTCTGGGGGACAGCAACTCAAGGTCTATGTTCTCCCCTAGTATCAGCAGGGTCCTCTCTGCCTGGTCAGCCCATGACTCCACAAGGTGCTGCTGGGCAAGCCTGACACAGGGAATGTCGCCCCCGAGGTGCCCCCACAGGATGCTCTACCGGAGGATTAGCTGTGAGTCACGTATGGTTCCGACCGACCCACTGCAGCTGGTCCTTTTGTGGGCCAGACCCCTGCAGAGAGGGCTGAGCTGGTGATTTGTCTAGAGACACCGTGGTCCACAGGCTGCTAACTTTCCAAAGCCCCACCCCAATGCCCACACCTGCCAGATCTCTTTACATCCTCCCCTTTCCACCCAGAAGGTGAGCCCTACTTTCCCCCTTCCTCGGGGGCTCAAATGGAAGAGAAAGCCAGACACAGAGGCCAGATCCACTTGGGAGAACTGGCAAGACCCGCTAGGGAGAATCTGTAATAAAGCAGGAGCGGTCATGTGAAACGTACAAGATCCGTGTCCCATCCTGCTCCAGTGCTAGCTAGGTGCACAGGAGCTGGGGACCCTGCCCAAGATAAAGGCCTCAGGTTCTTCATCTGTAAAATGGGAATAATCTACTTCAAGAGTCCGCAGTCTTTTTTTGTAGAGGGCCAGATAGTATACATTTTAGGCTTCCTGGGCCAGACTGTCTCTATTCTAGCTACTCAACTCTGCCCTTCTGGGGGAACGCAGCCACAGACGACATGTAAAGGAATGGGCGTGGCTGTTCCAATAAGTGGCGGTGCCAATCCCTGATCTTCCTACTCACAGAGCTGCTGCGAAGGTGAGGTGACAGATGTGACGCTGCTCTGTGGACTGTAGAGTGAGGATCACTTGAAAGGAAATGGGGGGCAGCGAACGTGATAACAGAAATAAAGCTCAGAGCCCCCCGCAGGCGAAGGGCGCTTCCAGACAGGAAAGGACACGGACCTGGCAGTCAGGCGGACGTGGGCTCTGCCATAGGCCGCCTCCTGACCCACGCGGGGCCGCCGTTCCCTCCAGGGCTGAACGGGATGATCAAGGCCGCCTCTCAGCTGCAGAGAAGGAAGCGCGAGCTCGCGTTGCTCTTCCCGGGGCCAGCGACGACTCGGGTCGCAGACCAGCCCCAAGGCGCTCCGTTGGGGCGGAGCCTCCGGCGCGGGCCAGAGCGCCAGAGGGCTCCTCCCCTCTCCGCCGGCCCCGCCCCCGAGCGCCCGCCTCCAGAGCCCCGCCCCCCAGGGCCCCGCCCCCAGGGCCCCGGCCGGCGTGCTTTGCGCCTGGTTCCGCCCCGCGCACGTGTGGTGGCGTCCTAGGCTGCGGGGTGGAGGTGAGCGCGCGGGGAGGGGCGGGCCGGGGGGCCTGGGGGGCCGGACCTTCTCCCTGGGATCTGCGGCCGCCGTGTGTTGGACCCGCCGGCCGTAGCTGAGGGGGCCCGGGATGGAAGCCGAGGGGAAAGCCTCTGCGAGGGTCCCGCAGCCCTCTTCGCCCAGCCGCCTGCGCGATGCGCCGCATCCCACCCGAGGCCGGCCTGGAGCGCGGCCTCGGCGCCGGTGGCCCTGGGGGCGTTGGGAGCTTGCCCAGGACCCATCTTTTCCGAACCTCAGTTTCCTCATTGGAAAAAAGGCCCAAATGGTGTGATTCTTTAGGAGTTTTTTATTAAAATAGGCCAGGCGGTGCCCCACCTTGTTTGCCTCCCCGTATTTGCTAAACATATTTCACAGACAGGAAGACAGTAAGCTTCAACCAAATTAAATAATTGTGAATTTTTAGTGAAATGTTTGCAGATGAAATAATAGGATGCCCGGGATGTGTTTCAAAATAAACCAGTTGGAAGGAGAATATGGGTGGGAGTAGAGATGAAATGATTGGTGGTGAGTTGATGATTTTTGTCTACTTTTGTATATGTTTGTAATTTAGCATTAAAATTTTTTCTAAGATGAAAAGTTTGCTGTGGACGTCTGACAGCTTGTGTTCAATACCGTGCCTGTATTAGTCGGCTAGGGCTGCCATGTAAGCACTGGGTGGCTTAAACCAGGGAAAATCTGTTTTCTCAGGGTTCTGGAGGCTGGAAGTCCAAGATGGAGGTGTCAGCAGGGCTGGTTTCTCCTGAGGCCTCTCTCATTGGCTTGTAGATGGCCACCTTCTGGCTTGTGTCCTCTCAGGGTCTTTCCTCTGTGGGTGTCTGTGTCCTAATCTCCTGTTCTCATAAGGACACCTGTCATATCGGATTAGGACCCACCCTGATGAACTCCTTTTAACTTAATTACCTCTTTAAAGACCCTGTCTCTAAGTACAGTCACATTCTGAGATACTGGGAGTTAGGACTTCAGTGTGTGAATTTGGGGGGACAAATTCAGCCCGTAACACTGCCGCTTTACTAGTTCAGGCTTTTGACCATTTACTTAGCCTGTCTCTGCCTCCTTTAAAACAGGAGCAGTAGTAGTCATTAGGTTGTGGAGTTGTGAGGATTCAGTTGTTGGATAGTATATGTGAAGCTCTCAGAACTGTGTCTAGCATATAGTAAGTACTCCGTAAGTTATACATGTTTCATCTGTAAATTAGTGATCCCAGGGCTTCACTATGGGTGAATAGTGGGAGAAGGCAGTTGGGTACTTAGTGCTGGGCCTAGTCAAGGGAATAAAAGTAGTAATCACAGCCCTTATCACAAGGGGTGTCTGCTGCTGTGCCAGACACTAATGTTTTATGTGTGTTCATTCATTTACTCATCACAGCCACCCTAGAGGTGGGCCACTGTCACATGCCCGTTCGGCTGATGGAGAAGGTGATGCGCAGGGATGGAGCTAGGATTTGAACTCAGGCTCTAGAGCCCGTGGTCGTAAGCACTGTGCTGTATTGCCTCGGTTAAAAAGGATGGGGCCCTCCGGGATGTTCAGTCTGAAGGCAGACCTAGGGAACAGTGGCTGACTTCTCTTTTTTTTTGGCCCAGGTTTGCAGCGGTGGCAGCACTCATGGCAGGTCCCCTGTGGCGGGCCTCAGCATTTGTGCAGAGACACAGGACGGGCCTGTTGGTGGGTTCCTGTGCAGGCCTGTTTGGGGCCCAAATCTCATACCACCTCTTCCCAGATCCTGTGGTCCAATGGCTGTACCAGTACTGGCCTCGGGGCCTGCCAGCCCCGTTCTCCCCAGAGCTGCAGAGACTCTTCCAAGAAGTGCTACAGGACATAGGCGTCCCCTCAGGCCATTGCTACGAGGCCTTCACCACCTTCACCTTCCAGCCTGTGAGTGCTGGCTTCCCGAGACTCCCTGCTGGGGCTGTGGTGGGCATCCCCGCCAGCTTCCTGGGGGTCCCAGTGACCAACACTGACCAGCCTGTGATCGTACATGGGCAAAGAGTGAACTGGCAGAGCCCAGCAGGCGCCCGGCTGAGAGACGCCCTGACCCTGTCCCATGACGCCCAGAAGTTCGCCCTGGCCCGGGAGGTGGTGTACCTAGAGAGCGGTGCAGCTGCCCTGCAGGCCCTGCCAGCCCCAGCTTGCCTGGCAGGAACCTGGGCACTGGGCGTGAGTGCCAAGCATGCCCTGGGGCTCTATGGAGGCCCCATGAGCTTACGAGCTGCCTTCAACTTGGTGGCAGCAGTGGCTGGCTTTGTGGCCTACGCCTTCTCCACGGACTCGCTCACTCACGCCCTGGAAGCCTGGTTGGACCGCCGCACGGCTTCCCTGTCTGCAGCCTATGCCAGGGGCGGAGTGGAGTTCTATGAGAAGGTCCTGTCGGGCAACCTGGCCCTGCGCGGTCTCTTGGGCAGGCCTGGAGAGAAGCTGTACACGCCCAGCGGGAACGTCGTTCCCAGACACTGGTTCCGCATCAAACACTTACCCTACACGACCCGCCGGGACTCAGTGCTGCAGATGTGGAGGGCGACGCTCACCCCAGGCCGCTCCTGAGGGGCTCATCTCAAGGACGGTTCCAGCTCGTGCAGGCGCCACCCTGCCGTTGACTCTTGGGGCCTCTGCACCCACACACAGCCCGATGTCAGAAAAATCACAGGCTTTTGAGTTAAACAGCCTAGATTCTACACCAGCCCACCACTTATGATCTCAGTACCCTTGGGCAAGTCCTTTGATGAGTCTGAGCTTTGGTTTCCTGCACTGTACAATGGAGATGATATAAACTGCCTGGCAGGATTGTGGGTTTGTGTGAGATATGAACATAAGGGTCTGGCAGAGAGGGCATGCCATAAATAAACAGGACATCCCTCCGTCTTGGTCTCTGAATACCAGTGTGTGGGAGTCAGGCCACACCTCGCCACCAGAGGTGCATGCAGGATGTAGGACAGCAAAGAACTACCCCATAGTTTGCCTGGTGGTCAAATGGTAATTTTCTTTCATACTGGTAGAGGTTAAAAGCTTTGAGAGGCCCAGATGAGCAGCTAGTGTGGGCCTGAGAGGCTGGGAAGCACGAGCCTGAGGTGGTCTTTAAGGGAGGTGTGTCAGCCAGGTCCTGCAGTGCACATGGCACTCAGAGAGGGCTGGGCAGCCAGTAAGGTCGGGGGTCCCAGGAGAGCTCCTGGGCCTGACAGGGAGACAAAGTGTTGCCAGAACCCTGCAAGACCTGTGGTGTGGGAGACCTGGCAGAGGGAAGAGGAAGGAGCAAGCCATTGCAAAGCTGAGGCCCTGTAGGGAGGGAGCCCGCAGACACAGTCCAGAGCGGTCAGCCTCCTGGGGCACAGAGCACGGTCAGGGCTTGGAGAGGAGAGGAGGTGAGGTGGAGCCAGTGAGGGCAGGGGGAGATGGGGTGAGCTTGGCTCACAGTGGGCAGTGAGGAGAGCAGAGGGCTAGAGGTGGGCTGTGGACTGGGCCATCCTGGCCCTGCCTGTTTCCCTTGAGCCCTCTGGTGGTGGATACAGCACTTTTGATCCTTGGACAGGAGGCCCCAGCAGGAAAGGCGAGGAGAGTTGTGATCAGCAAGCCAGGCTCACTTGGCCGTCCATGTATTCTTTTGTTGGTGATTATGTTTTCCCTGGAAGAGTTAAGAATTCAGGCCTGGTGCCGGTGTAACTTGGGGCAGAGAGATTAGGCCACACCCAAGGAAGGGCACGAAGCAGTACTGGGAGGCCCAGTCAGTGGTGGCAGACAGTTCCTGCAGGAGGCTGGAGAGTGAGCCGGGCCGGGATGGCAGCCTTCTGCTGGGTCCTTTGCCCTGGGCTCTGGCTCCAGTCTGTGCCAGCCTGCGGGTCCCTGCGTCGGGCCTGTGGAGACTGAGTTCCTGAGGGCAGAGCACCCATCTCTGGTCCCTGGGATGGCCCTGGGGGCAGGCTTGGTGAATGCGTGGATGGATGGATGAGTTAGTGCATGCTGAAGAGTCTCCGCTCTGGGAAATACCACTGCAAGGGGCCCCTGGCATGTCACCTGCTGCTGCTACCACATGGGACTATCTGATCTTGGCTGAAGAAGTGTAGTTTGGGGTGTGAATTGGTGAGCTCCACCTTCTCACCACTCCCCAACTGTTCTCAGCATTCCAGGAGCCAGGGTGGTGGCACCAGGGATTCCTGCTGATCTGCCCAAATGGTAAGGTGAGGGACCCTAGGCAGAGGGAGCGGCCCTCTGTAACCGCTGCCTACTTGGCTCCTCTATTCGGTATCGCAAACTTCGTCTCCACTCGTGGGCTGTTCCCAGTCCCCACACATGCTCTATGTGGCCCGCCTCCAAACCTTGGCTCACAGAGCCTCCATCCTGCGAGCTGCCCCTCCTCCTCATGCATTCTACACGTCCCGAAATCGGCTCAAGCCCAGCAACCCTTACCATCTGAAACCCTCCCTCTGCAGCCCCTCCCCTGGCAGGTTTGCAGGCAGGCAGGCAGCAGCTCTTGCTGAGAACCTGCTTTGGGCTCGACATGCCTTCCCTTTGCCTCGCCACCCCACCTCATGGCTAAACCCGTACCCAGCCTGGGTGATTCCCTGCCCAGCGGCTCTCAGCTCCATCCTTGCCCTCCCCAGACCATTCCTCACTCGTTCCTCACTCGGGCTTCCTGGCAATTGTCCCCACCTCTCCCAGCTCTTTGAAGTGCAGTTCTGACTGGGTTCTCTCCCACTTAAAACCCTTTGCTGTCATCCCCTTGCTTTTGGCTAAAGTCACATCTCCAAGCCTGGTCCTGTTGGCCTCCCCAGCTGTCCTGTGCATCCTGTGCCTCCCCGCCCCCCGCCCAGCTCTATGGATTCTAGACTCACGAGCTCTTTGGTTCCTTAACTGCCTTCCCCGTCCTTTGTACCCTGTACCTCTCTCTAGCCCTGACTGCTAACTGTAATTAAATAATTAGGTTACTGTGGAGTTAGTGGCTTAGCATCTCCACGGCTGAAACATACTCTCTACAGAGGCAGGGTTGTGTGTCTTATACACAGCTCTGGGCTGAGGCTTTCCATAATATGATAAATGAACAGGGTTCTTAAGCTGCGACAGACAGTCCCAGCTCCCTAGAGTCTCTGAACAATTACAGTAAACCTGGCTGGATGCCCTGGGCGAGGCCATTATGAATCGGATATGATCGTGTCCTGTCTTTCCGACTTGGGACTTTCCAAGGGCAGGGTCTGGCCCTGATCTTCCATGATTGCTAACTTCAATGGGGAAACCAGGAGACTTCTGGTCACTTCCTACGGGGCATAGATTACTACTCAGGGCATCAGGGACCCCAAGAGCTTTAGGAGGGAGGTGACCCTCAAAATTGTGTGATATATTGTGCCCCTGCACACAGATATGGGGGTTGATCCCTGAAAGATTAAGAAACATGCCCTAGGGCTTCGCAGATGAGCCAGGTGGCAGGAAGTTACCCTGTAAACTTAGCCCTGCACTTTCCCTTCTAGATGCCCGCTGCATGCCTCAGACATCAGCACTCTGCCCTGGATCCCTAGAGAGCACTGTTCTATTGAGTTGTAGCCCCCGCATGTTCGTGGTTCTCTGGGCATGAATGTGCAAAGGTGCCCAACATCCAGAAAAATCATGCACAGACCCAGAACTAGGCTGACTGACAGAGGGCTACATTGACACACAAATACGACACACACACACACACACATCCAGACACAGCCAGAATACGAGGAGGGGAGTCCCAGAGTCATGGTGCTGCCATTGGCTCTGCCCACCCTTGACCCTAGCAGGCCCTACTGCCTCTGTCCACACCAGGTGATATCTACAATGCAAGACCCCGTGCACCCATGTCTGGAGCTGGGCACACACAGGTGGAACCCCAATCCCCCTGTGTGCATATAGCACAGGCTGAGTCTTAAATAGATGCACATGTCCTCTCCCAGTGAGGCTTCCTGCTTGCCTCTTGTCCCCCACGTCCCTTCAATAATGTTTGTGGGGACTTTATTGTGCACCAGACACTGTGCTGAGTTCTTAGAGGCATTTTTCATTTATCTCCAAATTGGAACACATAATAATAATATTTTGATTTGACAGCGAGGAAATAGCACAAAAAAGTGAAGAAATTTGCCCCAAATCATAAAGCTTTGTAAGTAACAAAACCAGAATTTGAAGCCGCAGTCTGGTTCCAGATCCCACTCACGAAACCCTACATTTATACTGTCCTGTTTATGCTGAGGATTGCATGGTGCAAACTTGTACTGTGCCTCTACGCCTTTCTCCTCGTGCTGGTTAGAGGTGAATCTCCAGGCTCACCTCTTTTATCAGGAAAAAATGGTCGCTGAGCAGAGCCTTCTGGAACTTCCAGGAGAGACCCTTTCAGCTAACCGAAGAGGAAGGGGCCACCCAATGTATCTTATTTAGTGCTGAGTTGGGAATGGGGCAGAAGGGCGTAGTGTTCCGGAGCCCTCGGAGGCCCACTGAGGACAAGGGCATCTTAGGAGGCAGAGAGAGAGCAGACTGGGCAGCCAGCTATGGGTTCAAATCCTGGTCCTGCGCCGGCCTCGTGGCTTAGCAGTTAGGTGTGCGCACTCCACTGCTGGCGGCCCGGGTTCAGATCCCGGGCGCACACTGATGCACCGCTTCTCCGGCCATGCTGAGGCCGCCTCCCACATACGGCGACTAGAAGGATGTGCAGCTATGACATACAACTATCTACTGGGGCTTTGGGGAAAAAAAAAGAAGGAAGATTGGCAATAGATGTTAGCTCAGAGCCAGTCTTCCTCAGCAAAAAGAAGAGGATTAGCATGGATGTTAGCTCAGGGCTGATCTTCCTCACAAAAAAAAAAAAACAAAAAAACAAATCCTGGTCCTGTCTCTTGAGCAGAGTGACCTTGAACAAGTGATTTCACACCTCTGACCCTGCGTTTCCTATCTATAAAATGGGGATATTGATATGTATCTTACAGCATTGTTTTGACAATGAACAGGAAATAAAGTTTGCAAAATGTAAATCCCAGTAAGGGTAGATACTAAGCTTTAAAAGAAGATTGGTTTCCTAAATTGTAGCGCTTTTAAGTGGTACATGTACCAAGGTGTTCAGGTCTTGGAGTTGCTGCCCAAATACCAGCAATTCCCTGAGGCTGGAACCTTCCCAGGGAACTCACTGCTGCCTAAGACAGGTCTATGCTTATAGCTTTTCAGAGGCCCAGGGAGGGCAGTTCTTTAGGTTCCTATCAGTTGACACCACATGGGAAATTACTTGGCAGCAACTGAGAGCAAAGGACCCAGGTGGCCCTAGGGGGAGATACCAGGCTGGAGAAGAGGGCATTAAAATGCAAAATAGTGGTTTACACATACTGTGCTGGTAGTTTTTAAATACTAGAACATTCAGTGTGAGTGAGGTCGTGGTGAAATTGGGACAAGCGAATGCTCTTAGTGATAATTGTAGCAGGCAGCCCCCAGGATGGCCCCTAATGATCCCTGCTCCTGGTACTCTTGGCCTTGTGTCGTCCTCTCCCCTTGCTCCCCTTGATTCAAAACAGTAGAATACGGCAACATTAAAGGGATGTCACTTCTGTGATCAAGTTACAAAAGGTTGGGACTTCTGTCTTGCCAGCAGACTGTTATCTTCTCGGATGCATGCTTTGATG